ATTCTCGTTTCATTTGGCTAAACGGATCAATCACTCTGATCCGTGCTGAGACTAGTCTGCTACACAGCCGTTTTTAGTGTCGTCACGCAACGACACTAAAAACGGCTGTGTAGCAGACTAGGCTGAGACAGAAAGGTGCGATATTGTTCGCTTTTCTAAGGTGAACACTAAGTCTTTGGCCTCGGGAACAGGCTCTTAGGAGTCAAATAAATTAGGTGAGAGCAAAATTGCAGGTGAACTTTGACCCGGGGCAAGACTTTTCTCTTTTTTTCTGGTGTGAAAACAGAGTGTAGCTAAATGTCGTGGGTCGTGGGTAGTGGGTAGAAGTCGTGGGTCGTGGGTGTGGGTGTGGGTAAATGTCGTGGGTAAAAAAAAACGTTTTTCCAAAAAAAAAAATTAAAATCAAAAAATCAAAAGGCAAAAAGTTGTAAAATTCATGAAACGAAAATCTCCGTGTACATGCCAGTCCCACTCCCCTTCCCCGAGGTCAGCAAAGCAAATAAGCGAATCCTTTAGTACAAACGGACACTAAAATAAGAAACTCTGTACACTTTGTAAACCTATAGCAGGTTATAGAAAACTGGAGACTGAACTGCTTTTTCTCAAAAAAGTCAACATTCGTGACTGAAACGTCAGTTAAAGGAATGATATTTAGGGGTTACAGCAAAGATTTTGTACGCAAACAAAAAAAAATTGAGAAAATTTTATTTACGTAAGGCAATAAAATTTACATTCTGTCCGCGCCTTAACTTGAAAAGTTGAGCATGAATGTGGTTCCTTCGTAAGTTATTAGCTAGCCTAAAACTTCTTTAAGAAAGAATTCTATGCAAAAATATGAAATACTTCAAAATTGTCCTTTTTCCCTGCCCTTTCCCACGGTGATCTCGTTCCATCGTGTTAAGAAATCTCCGCTGATCATTGGAATTGTAGATCGATTTAAGATTAATAGTGAGCAGCAACTTCCATTCAGCCAGTCAGAACTGTCGATCCCATACTTTCTGCAAATTGTTCGTATAACTTACGTCTGTTTCGTTTATTTTACGGCGATAGCTCGGCAGGTATGTATAAATTTCCATCGGCAACATGTATGGTCTTTATACAGTGATGGTGAGAAAGGGGAGACAAGTCCCACGTGTCTAAGGAAATATCGGGAAGAGGACGAAGAAGAAGCCGTGGCGAAAAGGGCAATCAAGGAGTTGGAGATTTTCGTTTCATAAACATTTTACAATTTTTTCTATTTATTATTTTTATTATTTTATCATTTTTTTCCATACTTTTTTTTTACCCACGACCCGCGACCTCTACCCACTACCCACGACCCACGACATTTAGCTACACTCGTGAAAACAGGACTAAGTGTTGAGGGGTATGTGATCGTGTGGTTGAACTGCGGTTTCGCCAAAATATTCTGTGCCAGCCATTAATATTGTTTCGTCGGTGTTTAGCTTAGCTGATTGTACCTTGGAAAAGCAACTCTCGACTCAGGAAAATTGGATCTAGGTCTAGTTTCAGCGTGCTCTAATGGGATGGGCCGGTTTTTGCAGATAAGAAGGTGATAATTTGTGCACCATGTTTCATTCAGTTTGTTGTCTAGCTTTGTCTATTCCATGCTGAATCGTGTTGTTTAACGGACCGCGAAAAAATTAGTGTTTTGCTAACTGTTTAAGTTGTTATGTAAGCCTTAACCAGGCACTTTTTCACTACAGCTCACTTAAATTAATAATTTCTAGACTGAAATGACACCGGTTTGAAACTTCGCGAAGTCAGTTTACTGATTAGAATAAATGTTCGAAAATTTGCGTCATTTTAGATTTGGACTCGTTGAAATACTTCTAGGAACCATTAACTTACTGCCCGGCGTCAGTTAAAGGCTTTTACTCGGTCTTTGAATGAGATTTGTTGTTTTAAATTGCCAAGTAGTAGAATGAGTTGATATTTTTGCTAACCCGGTTTTCAAAAATCCAGGTATATTTGCATAGCCTGATATAAACACTCAAGGTGTGGAGTTGGAGAATTCGAGAAGAAGTTATGCAAACCCTCCACTTCGTCGGGTTGCATAGCTGTCTCGAATTCTCCCAACCACTCGGCGAGTGTTTATATCAGGCTATGGAGACACGGATAAAGTTTTCTATTGCTTAATTGGAGACGAAATTGTGCGGGAAGAACCTTTGACGTTGTCATTCACAAGTATTTTCTCAAGGTCCATATATAGCGAATAAGGACTCAGTGATTACTCAGTGACTACTAGACTTCCGTGACAGAACCGCACAGATGTAATTTGAAAACGTTTCTGCCCACTATTCTTACTGCCCATATTTTCTGCGCATCCCAAAGTTGCTCGCGCGCGAAACGCGAGGAATGCGCAACACGCGAGACACGCGGACTGGTTCAAAGCTTTGTCATACTTGAACGTCTCGGAGGTTCTAGTTATTTCTTGTGGAAAAGATGCGTCGTTTTTAAACAGATGACGTACAAGTTCTATTTACCTTTGTCAGTTATTAGAAAACTGAAGAAGAAGAAGACTTTTGTGCATCTTGTTATTTCGATCGATCTGACCGACATTTATAGTCAACAAATGAAACACTCAACACATCAAAAGTAACTACTTAAAGGTGTTATGTTTTGAGCTTGGGTATTAATAAATCCCTTAAAAGACAAGTGCCAATTAGTAAATAAGAAGAAAAATAGCGTTACGACGTACGCTTAATAAAGAAACTGCAAGCTAACCTTCAGTTGAGTCTTTTGTGTTGTACCGGCTATAAACACTCTCCCAAATATTACTTTTCAAGTACATACAGACTTCCTATTATTGAGAGTCCGAGGCTTTTATTTCTTGAAAAAAGAATGAAACAACTCCGTCTAATTGTTGCTTATTGCCTCTTTGAGGCGTTAAGCCACCATGTTATTTTACTGAATTCGCAACTTTACGAACAGTCGCGGACCGCCGAGGAAGTGCTTTAATCGTCAAGAAAAACAATAGTGAAAAATTGTTATGCTTTTATTATTGTTGTTTTTGTTGTTGTTTTAAGCATCTTTGATTGTGGCATTACTAAGCAGTCAAATTATTCAGCCATTGGACAACTTGTGGTGTAGATAGTGTTTCTCAATGTTCAATCTCCACGCCACCCATTAGCTGAACATTTACGCATTTGACGGGTAGGCGCCAAAGCAGAGAAATTTAAAACCGAAATAACAAAACTACGCTGAAAGCGAGTAAGCCTCAAAAATAATGAGGCTGATTAGGAAGGAGAAGAATCAAGTAAGAATTGGTTGCTTTTTAGCTACTCAGTTAAAGGCTTCTTTGAATTGTAAGTCGAGTAAAATAATAATAATAAAAACTTGAAAGATCGAAGATATACAATTCATTCACTGTATCTACAGTTCAGAAAATCTTCAGGACGAGTAAGCAAACGATTCAAGAAGTACCAAAAATCCACAAGGTAAGAATCCCTGTTGGCCCTTTTCCAGTCCAGTAAGCTTATTAGGGACCTTAAGATCCAGGACGGGAGAGAGGACGACGGCGCGCCAAAGGACGGTAAGGACTGGGCCTAGGTCCCCGTCTCACGCGATGGATAAATAGCTTAAGATTGTTGCGGACGGGGACGCCATTTTGCTTCCAGAATATTTTAGCCATTTTGGTTTATTCTACAGCATGTTAAACATTTCATATCGTGGATTAGGAAGCGTTTTTTTCTTACATCTTGGGTATTGGGGGCTTCAAAACATGACGTAAGTTTTAAGCTTATATGGCAGCTTAATTCGTCATCTAGCTGATGTCGTAGTAAAAAATTTTTCTTTTCCTCTAACTCTGTTGCTTGATTTGTTCAGCTTGTTATCTTATGTTTTGTGGGTAAAAATACGCGTTAAAATGAGCTTTAAGCATGCAAGAGATGCCTTGGTTCTATGTCATGACAACGGAGTGATAGGCGACGAGGAATTTTGCTTGCTATACGATGCAAATCGATCGAAAAATCCCGAATTTCCGTACGAAGAGTATGGAAAATTTGATCTTGAAGATATGGAGGACGATGAATGTAAAGCGGAATTTCGCTTCCATAAAGAAGACATCCCGGTGCTGGCAGAAGTCCTTGGTTTAATTTACCCGAAACTTTCAACTGCAGCCAGGGATCCGTGACTAATGGCAATGAAGGGCTATGCATTATGCTGAAAAGATTTAGCTACCCCTGCAGGTACTCAGATTTAATTCCCCGTTTTGGTCACGCTGTTCCTGTGATGAGCATGATCTGTAACACAGTAGTTGACTTCGTTTACAACCTCCATGGCCATAGAATAACCGAGTACAATAACAACCTTCTTGATTCGGCTAGCCTTCAAGTCTATGCAGATGCAGTTTTTGCAAAAGGTGCCGCCCTGGATAATTGTTTTGGTTTTGTGGATGGCACGGTCAGGCCCATTTGTCGCCCTGGGGAAATGCAAAGAGCTGTATACAATGGACACAAACGTGTACATGGACTAAAATTTCAGTCAGTTGCTCTACCAAATGGACTCATCGCAAATCTTTTTGGACCTGTAGGTTAGTGCATTATTCATTTCGGCTAATACCAAGGCAATGGGAAGGTATAAACATGAGGCACATGATTTCTTTAAATCCCTTGGCCACTTGTAGTGTTGGCTTTTTTCTTCAGACTGAACTCAAATGATTCTATTCATGTGACCTCTGTCACGAATTGTCAGAGTTCACATGCATTGCAGTACGTTATGACATCGACACATATGTTTTGTAACTTACCGTACAGATGTATATAGGGAGACAACATAAAACGTATATGTTAATTTATTAGTAGGTATTTCTACATAAATGAGTTGAGCCTCAAATAAGCACACATATCTATCAAGGTCACAAGGGTTTTGGCTTTACATAGTATTACTGTAACTGGTTTGAAGGAAGTATTAAATTTCAAGATTGTAAGCTCAACATCAACAATATTTCAAAACTCCACTATATCTCTTTTACATAAGGGAGAAAACATGATGCATCAATGCTGGATGAGTCTGGTCTGTTGAACGAGCTCGAGAGGCATGCATTTTCACCAACTGGCCAGGCAATGTGTATTTATGGTGGTCCAGCATATCCCCACCGTGTTCATCTGCAAAGACCATTTCAGTATGGAGTACTTACACATCAGATGCAAAGTTTCAATGAGTCCATGAGTAAAGTTCGTTCCTCAGTCGAGTGGATTTTTGGGGACATCATTAACTATTTCAAATTTTTAGATTTTAAGAAAGACTTGAAGCTGGATTTAAGCCCCATTGGGAAAATGAGCATTGTCTGTGCCTTACTTAGGAATGCACTTACTTGCCTTTATGGTAACACAACCTCCGAGTTTTTCCAGTTAGACCCTCCATCTCTGGAAGATTACTTTGCTTAAGTGTCATTCATACTTGAGGGCATAGCTGAATGTTTTTGGTTTGTAGGCTTGTTTTAACAGAAAATCTCCACAAGGAATTATACACATAAGAAATATTACAGGAAACCAAGGGTTCTTGACAAAACTTTTAATGGCAGCTGTCGCCCAGATACTGTTAAGTCTGCATCAATTTCTTTCTTAGTATGATGAGCAGTGCTTCACAGATTTCCAAAATGCCTTTTGTGTCTAGGATTTTGACACCAAAAAAATAATATCCATACTCTGTCCATGGAAGGGGGTGCAATGTCACCCCCACCCTTCTGGAATTTCCAAATGTAAGCAGTGATTCATATGGAAAACAAGGTCTTTTTCCCCCACCCCCAATATTATGCTATATGCTAAAACTGAAGAACAAACCTATGAAAATGAAGTAATCATTTATTTACTACAATCCAAGATAAAAAAGTATATACAGTGTAATATGCTATGCTGTTGTTTTTGTTAGAACAAGTGTAACACTTTTTTCAACATGTTTTCAAGTATAGCAATTCTAAATGCTCTTTCTGAAATACAATATTTGAGAAAATGGTTGACACTCAAAACATTTAAAACACACTGTAACTATCAATAGAACAACAAGAAGGCAAGGTTCAATATCATTATCATGCACTTGCACACTCGTATGAAATCTGCTCAAGCAGTTCTTGTTCACTTCTCCAATACACGAAAAATATAAACTCCGAACGACAGTCGCAAGTAGAAACTCAATAAAAAAAGAATGACTCTGAAAGTGGTATTTATATAAGCATTAAACAATGATTGAAAGCAGAAAAATGACAGGAAAAGACAAATCACACCTGCAACATCTGCACGACAGAAGCCAACAACAAACATAAAACGAGCCAACAAAAATATTTACTTACGCTGGCTTTTTGTAGCTTGTTTCCTTTGAACATGACGGGGAGGGGGTCGAGACAAACTGAGCAGAGCTCATTACGAGTTTACAGGACTAAATCTCTGAGAAAACCAAAGAAAATCAAGTACACAGAGGGCACAACGTCAAACTGGTGTTTTTGCCGTCCTCGACGGAGTCACGACGGGGTCACGCAACCATGAAAACAAACCAGATCTCTAATGCGCATGCTTCTTATGTTAAAACAACTTCCGGTCGACCGTCGTCCTCGCTCCCGTCCTGGATCTTAAGGTCCCTATTTTGATTACGGTACCGGCCCTGGATCCTTAGCTCGCAATACTACTCTATTGAACTCTATTGCTGGTTTTCAGTGTCACGCCATTCAAAATAGACCAAAATAAAAATCAGAACCATTCGACAGGTAAAGTCCAGAATCTGGGAAGTGAAAGGGGGTAAATATACAAAAACCCTCGCCAAGATTTGGGTCGAAGGGATAATTCGTATACGAGATATCCGAGGAAATGATTTACCCAAATTTATAGAGCTTTGTATGGAGACGCCATGCTGGAGCTCATCCGGATGAGCTCCAACATGGCGGATGGAAACCAACAGAAACATCTGTTACCGAGTTTTGCTACAATAGCGTGAATTTACTCCTAGAGGAACTCATAAACATTAAAGCAACACTTTTTCTAATACTTGAACCGTTTAGATGGCAAAATTCCACGCAAAAATTCACTTTTTTAACCTAAATGACAGCTCTCTCGCCCGTCGTGTAACTGCTTCGTCACGCAAAATCTTAGAAATTCAAGTGTATTCTATTACAAAACCAAGAATCCTTTTGAAAAGAAAATTTGTTTGAAAATTAGTTTGCAGCTCCTCTAATACACCATGAAAGTAAAATCTTAGTAGGATCGATAGTTTTGTAGTTTGAATTTTAGTGACGTCATGTGAAAACCAACAATACGTGCTGGAAGTAACTATACATTTCATTAAAATACCTTGGAGATTACAGAAGATGCTCTCCTCCAAAAAACAGGAGAGTGAGACAGGGAAGAGTCACCTGAATTAAAAAGTATGTTTTGTTTTTCTTAGAGTCCATGTTTCACTCTCTGTTTTTGTTCTGTTCCGTGATTTCTTCTTTCTGACTGGTAGCTATTTTCAGTGGATATCCCAGAGTACTCCGTGTTGAGTAAGGCAATTATGAAACTCACCAGGGAGGGGATGCGAAAAATTGTAAAGAACTCCAAAAGCGATTAAGTTAACGTCGAATACAAAAACTAAAATCGCGTGGTTACACCAACTTTTTTTCTTGCCTAATGGAAGTAAAAAGCCTACCCTGCAAACGACCAATTTTTGGTTTGCGCCAAATGTCGTTTAAACCATTTTTGAGGCAAACGCGTGGATAGGGATCACTGCTGCTGACCACCCAGTTGTGATGATGTTTCAAACAAAGACGTATAAGGAAAGGTTGTTTTGTTACCATTTGTTCTTTATTTTTAAGACTCATTACAATTATCATTGCACTTGTGCCAGTTAACGTGTACACCCTTACATTTGGGAAGAGAAATGACTTTTCTTAATTTTTCCAAAAAAATGCCTATTCAGCGTTTTTCTCCGTATTGAAGCGAATGTATCCCTGGAAAATGCGTGGCTACCCCCAGTTTTCTCCGTGGATTTCAATAGCCCCTGCTATAATCTACTTGTCTCACAAAGTCATTATCTGGGAAAAATACTTCACATTAGTGGGCACCGTCCCAAAGCAAAAAAAATTGACAAGGCATGTTTGCAAAGATTTTCCAACTTTCAGCCGACGAGGGAATGGGTAAATAAAGTAAACTTGTCGAGTTTTCAACTCAAAAACGTTTTCAAATTCGTGCTTGCGTGATTAGCGCACAAAAAGCAAAACATCTTGACGTCACAACCATGCTTACATGAAAACACGCCTCTCGGACAATCAGAGCAGGCGTACTATCTTAGACCCTGTTTACATGGAGTGGGGGAGCCCGGTCTAGTGGGGTTGGTTTCTTTTGTTTTCACGCTCTGGGGGACACAAAACAAAAGAAACTTACCCCACTAGACCGGGGTCCCCCACTCCATGTAAACAGGGTCTTAGTTATTAGGGACTTTAAGATCCAACGACGCGGGCGGTAACGAGAACGTCAAAAAAACAATAGGTTTTATTAGCAAAACAACAACTTTGCACGTGCACCATGCTTTTTTGTACATCGCGTTTTACAGAGCACGTAAACAGGCAACGACGAAATTTTATTTCTGTTTCTGTACTTGGATATGGTGCCTAGGATTCAACTCCGGGAGGGTTCGCCTACATTTGACGAAGTAAGTGGGTAGGAAGACTGAAAGAACGCAAATTTACATTTAAAGCGACGTTCTCATTGCCATCGCGTCGTTGGATTTTAAAGTCCCTATTCTATTGGATGTGAGATGGTAGAAGCCAACGAGGCTGGGTACAATCAACGAGCCAACGAGTTGGGTACAATCATCTCACATTTACCAAGCGCGAGTTGAAGAATTGTTTTATTAAAAACGCCTACAAAATATGGAGAATTCTTCCCGACTCTTTTTGGTCTAAACAACCAATTTTCAGCTTGTTTTTAATTTTGAGCAGACGCGTACAGTTACCATATTTGGAGAGCATGGTATAGGGCTCATATGCCAAGATGGCTAAGCTAATCAGAGCTCTAGAACTGCATTATCCAATGATTCAGTTTTTAATAAAAATCAATATATCAAACATTGAATATTATCAACCAGGTAACAACAACAACTGTACAACAAATTGTTAGGCTAACAAGTTGTCAAAAATCACAATAATTGCAATCCGTTTCAATCTTCTTCAAGTTTGTCCATCCGTGTCTCCTTTTGTATGATTTCTGTGTTATTTATGACCTTCTTTTCATTTATTGAGCAGTTATTTTTATGTTTCACGCAAACTGGTGGCAGTTATCTCTGTTTGAATTTTCATACATTTCATGACACAGGTCCTTAAATCTGGTAAAGAATTGAAACACATGGTGCCTTAACCTCTGAACATTGTCTTTTCCCTACTTAATGCAGGTATTGCTCCTGAAGGACATTTCTTCTTCTAATACAATAATCACGCAGGGTTCCGTTTTCTTAAGAAGCTATTAAAAAATATATCGATCCTCACTAGAATTTAAGTAAAACTAAACTACCGTATACATGTGCGCATTGTGCGCATACTGACCACGGCACCAGTTCAACACACATAGAAAGTGTGGACTTGACCATAAACACTTTGTAAGGCTTTCAACCCCAACTTGTTACTTATAATAACTACCTTGCCACTGGCGCATTTGATATGTTACATCCAAGAAACGTTTTCAGTTCGTCTAACAACGACGCCCCAAAATACAAATTTTGACACAAAAAATGCGAGATTTATCTATTTCGTATCTACTTTAAAAGCGTGCTGAATTTGTTTCGTTTAGCGCCAAAAGAGAATTAACTGTGTTATGAAGTAGTTGCTGTTAGTTCTGTTTTGGAGTTTTGGTATTTTTAAGGTTTTTCTATCCGAATGATTATTTTGTAGCACGCGCTAGTTTCTTAATAAACAGTTCATAGTCCAAGGAAATTCAATGTATAGGCCACAAGGTTAGTTCCTGAGTTTTGAGAAGTATCGTCTATCGAAAGGATTTGTTAAACTTATTGTAGTTCTTTGAAGTAAGCATGTTCGGGGATTATAGCTGACCTTGAGTTTTGCCTCCACTGAAGTTCCTGTTTTGTGGCTTGGTCCTAGCGAGCAGTTTTACCGCTAGCATTCAATTGGCGCTTTAGTACTTGTTAATTGTGACAGTGTAGACTATTCTATCGTTCACAAGTTCAGCGACAGGATATGCAATGGAAGGGTCTCATGGTCAGCTAACCCAAACACGTCCATAATTTCGTTATTTAATTCGCTGTGTTAGCTAGTAGAATTAGTTCAGTAGTAGAGTTGCTGTCAGAAGCTGTTGAAGAATAAACTGCTGTCTAAAGAGAAAGAACAGAGTCTTGCTCCTCTCGTTAAAAAGCCAAGCGAGCTTCGCAAGCCCTCAACAACTGTTTAAACTGTCGTCGTAAGAAACATCACAAAATATCGAATTGTTTACGCAAAACTATTTAAATACTGCACTAGTTCCCCTGCAGTTTTCATTCTTAGAGCACGCCGCAGAAGTGTAAAACGCTCCAGTTATGCGTCTAGAAACGGACGTTTTTCCGCAGGGTGTGTTTAACTTCCGGCATCATTTTATAGATTTTGATTTCATTCTTATTCTTCCCTGAACGTTCCATGTTACTGACTTTCTGGTTGACTACAGTTAAAATATCGAGAAGGTGGTCATTAATTGAACGTTCACGAAATGCCTCAACGAGGCCGCGAACATAGTAGCTTCCTAGAGCCTCATGCCTGTACGATACATACGTATCGACAGTGGAAAATGCGTACAGAAAATCTGCATGTTTGGGTACCCTGGGTGCAAGTTTATTCACTGAGCCAAGGCCGGAATCAACTTTGTTTAGACTAAGCTGTTCGTTAGATGAAATACCGGTATCAGTGGCAATAGACACCCTCTCATCTTCTTCGTTACCTCTGCACGCTTGGATAAAAAACAGCTTTGGTTTATCCCTTAGCGTATCGCACTCGCTCAACATATCACAGAAAGTTTGAATAGGTATCGTGTTACCGTCAGAACAGAACACCTCACCACTCCTGCCATGGGTCATGAGCCACAGCACAAAACAATCGTAGCCACTGTGATCCTGGCAAGCAACATCATCAATTTCGTTTAAGAGTTGTAGCTTTGTAAGGTTCTCTTTCATTCGCATCTCAAAATCGAGAGCAGTAAACAACGCTTCAACTTGACCAACATCTACTTCCGACCCGTGACGAGTTGGGAGTTCTTCGCTGGCGAAAAGCTTGATATTAACCAACAGCGTTATTCCTCTTGGGTGAGCTGTCATGTTATAATCTTTGTCTGTACCAGGATGATCACCAAGACGTACAGCTGCGCAAAAGAAGAAAACCTTATTTGATGGATTAACTCTATTCGGAAAGGGTTGTTTGGGAACGGGGGCGACTTTGGAGGTCCACCCCACATAACTTCTTAACCACTCAAGATGCGGCCACCAACTAGCCTGCGTATAGCCTGCGTGACAGGCGTCGAAAGGGAAGGGGGGCAAGGATGGGGTATCGAGGAAAGACGGAAAGGAAAACCTGATGTCAGTAATCAAAGCCCGCAGAAGAACCCCATTTTGTTCATTTCTGCGGCTGCTGGCGTCCGCAAATTTCCGATTGGCTGAGCCGCAACAAGTAAATTATTGACAACCATAACGCAAGCAGAGAATCACATGAAACCGATCATTGTTTGTCGTGTTTGCTGATCAACAACAGTATAGCCTGAGAGGATGCTCACTTGTTCGCGTTTTGGGAAAATTTTGGCGGCGGAACCACAAGCACGAGCCGGCGAAAAGAATGAGGAGAGGAAACTTACTTTTCCTTGTCCGATTCAAATTCGCACAAGTGGACCTTCTCGCAGGCTAACAAAAGTAAAACTATTCTGCTTTGAACAGTCAACAAATCTTTTGATAAAGGGGCCAAGCTAATAGACATTATAATTTCCGGTAAACAAAGCATCCTTCCTCCACGTTGAGAAATCCCCCCCCCCAACCCCCCCCCCCCTCCCCCTACTTGTGATTGGTCACGTATTGCCAGTTTGACGGATCGGTTAAGCCTATGAACGGGCTCTCCGTTTCAGTTTGGGAGAAGGTGGCTTAAAATCGCGAGGAGACGAAGGAAGAGGGGAAGTGGGCCGCCGCCTTTTTCTACTCCCTAGCAGGAGCTGTCCCTAGCTAGTCCGCGCTTTGCTCGCGTCCCTCGCCAATTTTTTTCTTTTTTTTCTTACTTAGGCAGGTGTTTCTTCTCACTTATCCTTTCGCGTTTTTCTCCCGCTCCCCTCGCCTTTCTTGCGCCTCCTACGCAGGGAACCAAATTTACACACAAAAAAATACGGCCCCATCAGTTTTACAGCGGTAGCCAGTAACACGCGCCCTCAAAGGGTTTTTCTACGGTTCAAACCTGCCTTTTGGTGGACGACAATCAACCGTTACCATGGTTTTTCACGCGTTGGCCTAGAGAAGATTCTTTCCCTGTTTCTCGAGCGCTCGATAGAATATGTCAGCGTTTAAGCCGTTTTTGCAATATTTTGCTTTAGGATCTGATACCGCCTCACGTCAAGATTACGAGGAGTACGAATTTGTTGAGTGTTTGTCGACGGAAACTCAAATTATCGACATATTTACACTTTGTAAGTTACAAACACATAAGCTTTCTCAATACACCCTCGCAACTCGTCTGAGTTCTTGCTAGTTCTGGATTCTATTCGATAACATGAAGAAAGATAAGTAGATCTGTAGGTTACAAAATTCATTTTCGGAAAACAGCCTTTATTCAGAAGAAACGTTTTCCCTTGTCGGTGTGTCATTTATTTGAATTTATACTTCTTGGCAATTCGTTCACGGCTCCCGTGTCTTCATTCAATCAAATAAATAAACAACCTGAAAACCTTTACGTAAACTGTGAGAATGTTTTGGCTATTTCACTCAGCTCGCAGAAACCTTGTTGTTTTAACAATGTAATCTTTCAACTTAATGAAATAATTAAAACGCCGTCATCATTCGAATTAATTATTCTTGTAAGTCTTTGCACAGGTAGCCCAAGCTCACTATGAGAGCCCTGAACAACATTATCCTACTTAGCTAATTAGTTATTCATACGACAACAGTTATAAGACGTTGTATGAGAATTATCCTATTTCTCCATAATTGAGCAAAAGGTACATTAATTTTTCCTTTTAGCATTTTGTTATGTTATTTGTGTGGTGAGTGCGTTTCAGGCCTCTTAGGATGCCAAGAACCCGAAAACAACACTACCCATCTAAGCTAATTGTTGGTTTTCACATGACGTCACTAAAATTCAAACTACAAAACTATCGATCCTACCGAGATTTTACTTTCACGATGTATAAGAGCAGCTGAAAACTAATTTTCATACAAATTTTCGCTTCATAAGGGTCCTCGGTTTTGTGATAGAGTACGCTTGAATCTCTAAGCTTTTGCGTGACGCGGTATTTACATGACGGCCAAGAGACTTGTCATGTAGGTTAAAAAAAAGACTTCTTTCAGGGAATTTTGCTATCTTAACAGTTGGTCTATTAGAAAACGTATTACTTTAATATTTATGAGTTCCTCGAAGAATAAATTCACACTTTTGCAGCAAAACTCGATAACAGATGTTTCTGTTGGTTTCCGTCCGCCATGTTGGAGCCCATCTGGATGAACGCCAGCATGGCGTCTCCATACAAATCTAAAAATTTGGGTAAAACATTTCTTCCGATATCTCGTATACGAAATATTCCTCTGACCTGAATCTTGGCGAGGGTCTTTCCATATTTACCTCCTTTCATTTCCCAGATTCTGGACTTTATCTATTCAACGGTTTTGATTTTTACTTTGATCTATTTTAAATGGCGTGACAATGAAAACCAGCGATTAATTATCAGCAAGAAAATTATAAGACGTTGTATGGAGAAGTATTCTTTGCTCAGTAAATTAGCAAAATGTACATTGAATATGGCTTTGAAGCTTACCTTTAGCGTCTTCTTGTTTTTCTTCGTATTCTGACTGCATTTCAGACCTCCTAGGCACTGTTAAATAAGGGAATTCATATTTTTAAGAGTTTTTATAGAAAGTGACAACGTTTGTCTTCCCTTGGTAGTAAAACGTTTTATACACAACGGAAGCAAATTTTTTACTAGTACTAGTAAAAAATTTTTTTCAAAATTCTTTAAAAGTGAAAAATATTTTTCATTGATTTTCTTAATATTTTCTCGCTAAAAAGTCATTTCTTTTTTGCCCGTTTTTCCATTTATTAGTATACATTATGTAATTTAATAAATTTGTTTCTTTAACTTTCACTGTTAAAGTTTTTTGCTAAATTTTTTTTTACTAGTACTAGAAAAGTTTTTTGAATACTTTGCAAACATCTGATGACCCGTTAACTACCTTTTTTTGAGCGACAGTTTTTCACTTAGATGACTCTCATCTAGGTGAAAAACTGTGACATCAGTTGCAGTTTTAATATTTCGATTTTTGATTTTTCACCTCAATGATTTCAAGTAACTGTGCGTGTAACGCTACACGACACGAAGCACGAAGGCGATCGATAAAAACTGAATTTTGAACCAAAATAAGTGTTTATATCAAGCTACATTGTATAAAAGGCCATTTTCAATCTTTGCTTCCGTTGTGTTTAAAACGTTTTACTACCAAGGGGAGACAAACCTTGTCACTTTCTATAAAAACTCTTAAAAACTAAAGCAATTTATCAATTAAATAAATACAACAAAGTCTCGCTGAATACAAATTGAGCCAAAACGGTTCCAGGAATTGCGTGAAATACCCTAAGAAACGTATCGCTTCAATTGATGGGAATTTTTTACCTTCACTTGCATTCATACTCTTCGGTTGCAGAAACGTGGCTTTCTATACGAAACAGGATTTCTCCCGGGTTTAAAGTTTTCCACATCACACATTAGGGTGTCTGTAAGACGCGGAACGGATACGTGCGGATAGCGGATGCGGATGGAAAAATGCGGAAAGACGCCAAAAAATGTAAAAAGAATAAAACGAGAAATGCGGATGACAAAAATAAATAAATAAACAAACAAAGGAAAGAAATCTTTCTTTCAAGTCGCTGTCGCATGGTTGGGCCCTTCATGTACAGTGCGCGTTGTCAATAGTTGGTACAGGTTATTCAGGGTTTTTTCACAATTCTTTGAACCCTGTAATTCCTTTCATTAATGTCACGGAAACAAGGACGCTCCGTTCCTGTTCCTTGAACCACGCATGCTATGGTGCACTTTTCCTTTGAGTACATAGCCTGGATATAGTGTACTCAACTTACAGAAGAGAAAATATTCTCAGGGCAATCAAATCGAGGATTATTTGTTTGAGCCCCTCGAGACAAAAAAAAAGCAGCGTCAAAAAAGAAACAGAAGGAATGTAAGTACGTAACTTTCCGATTTGGCAGATGCTAATCAACTCCGCCTATCATGTTGAATTTATTTTTTACAAGTTCTACCTTTTGGAAATTTGTAAGTGCAAGAATTATGAAATTTGAATTTTAAAACTGCAAAATATACTGCCGATCGGAAAGAAAAAAAAAGACTTGATCAAACGTGATTAATCGCTTAAGTTATGTCCCGAAAAGGTACAAAAAATAAAAAAGTAAAAAATCGCCTAATCTTAAAGCATCCTAAAAATCAAAATCCCGCAGAAAACGTGTCCCTAGTGAAACGCATTGATGAAGGCTACTCTCTATTTCATTTGTTTTTGTTTTTAATTTTTCTCGCAACAAAATAAATTCCAAAGCATATCCTTAGCGACGTCTTAGACCGTCTGTATCGAGCAACCTAAAACTCGCCATTAAAAACGTGACAGGCAGAATTTCGGAATCGAAAATATATGATATTCGGTTTATTTGGACCGCTCTCGTCTATCTGGGACGCGGCAACCAAACATAAAACTGCTTCTTAACAAGCCTTTATAAATATTTTAACAATGTCTGCACCAGATAACCCCTTTTTATTCGTTACATACATTCATACAGTTCATACACTGTTTACACGTAGCCATTACGACACCTGAAGAAGGGTCATGAGGTTATCGCTATATTAAGATCTCTCCTTACAGATACCCCACCCGGCCCAGGAAAGGTTAGCCACACCACTAGGGTCTATAACGTCCCCTACTCTTTTCGAATAGTGTTGTGGGTTCTTTTACGTCTCTCAAGAACCAGGTAAGTGACAGTACTGTGAGAGGGACCTACGGTTTTTCGTCCGTATCCGAGAAGACTAGAGGGTGTAACCGTTTGCAGATGTCGTTAAAAAGCAGCACTTTCTTCTGCAGTTATTAAAAGACCCTGAGTGTTGGTCCGGCCGGGGTTTGAACAAGCGACCTCCCGCCCAGCAGACCGGCGCTCTCAGTGCCAACTGAGCTAACCAGGTGGGTTTCGTTGAAAGAACCTTTGCGTAAAATTGTGAAGGCCAGACAAATGCTTCTGTTGAGGGTGCGGCATATTGCATGAAAAAAAAATCTGTGTGGAAAAAACCTCATTAAAAAACACCGATTCACACAAAATGAGAAGAAAAATAAGGATTTTTTTGTATTTTGGCGGTCCAAGGGGCGCGGTGCGATGAGAAAAATAAGGATTTGTAGATCAAGTCAAGAAACGTATCTTTTACGTTCCTTCTCTTGCGTTGAGCATGTGGTAGCCTCTTAAACTCGTCAAAAACAAATCGCAGATTCGCTCAGAAAATTAGAAAAGACCCGAAAATGAAAAAGAAAACCATTAGTGTAACAGTAACATGCCTTTTGATCTCTAAAACGGGCAGTTCAGAGTCACACTCTAAACTGTCTTCCCTGGCAGAGTTGACCAGAGTCCAGGTAGAGTGCCAGCAATACATGAAGAGCCCTTTCAATACAGGAAGATTTACGAGGCGAGCACGAAATAGGCGAAGCAACGCACGCCGATTTTTTTCGCGCAGTTCACCTTTTGTTTTGGTTTATTTCTCTTGTTTTCTCCAGTTTCTTTCTTTCTTTTTTTTTTTCAAGAATAAAAAGTTGTCCCAGCAACTTTAGTAATCGGGATTTAAATATAACAGAACCATAAACGAAAAAACACATGCTTTAGCAAAATGTATATATCCAAAATCTTATTATTATACCATTGTCTGCAATTTTTTTTTTCGCGTTTTTCCATCCGCATTTTCCCATTGGCATCGGCCATCCGCATTCGGCATCCGCACGTATCCGGTCCACGTTTTACAGACACCCGACACATTATCTGTGTTCTAAGTGCGTTCTTTTGTTTTCTTTCTGAATCGATTGACTGCGGACGAAAGACACTGGAAAGAGCCTCGATTTCGAAGGCCGTTCCTGAAATCGAGGCAAATGCAGTGATATACATACATGCATATTTACATACTTGAATTCTGGGTGGAATGTATGCCCCCACAGAAACAGATATGTACTTCAAAACTCTAGAGTAACGTAACTAAGACAGAATCCATCTGTTACCTAGATACAATCTCTTAACGCAACCCTATAACAAACCCATATTTTACTGCCAGCTAATTTTAATTTTAACGGTCAATCGTTGAAGTTGCCTGATGAGTGTGGTCCTACAATTTCGGACCATACGAAACAGCACTGTCGCAATAAATGATCGATGATTACTCCTGAAGCCTGAACTCCTGTGATTATTGATACATATTTACATACATATTCACATCCAAGAATCTCAAATGAGGCTGGCTCCTGGCACAGGCAACCCAGGCTGGTCACGCACGCGACCGGAATTAGTCTGCTGCGAAGCCTGGTGGCTTCGCAGCAATGAATATGATTGACAATCAGTACCTCTATAATAAGGGTCCCTATAGCCTAAATCTATAGATGGTCAAACCTGATATTTCAAAACTCATCTAGCATCTCAACATCGGGCTCTCGACTCACCTACTAAATTTAATCCTGCCGCATTTCCATCTTCCGTTTCAAAAATGTTTCGAAGCAGTTGCTCTACAAACGCTTTTCTTTTTACTTCTAAGTGAATAAGGGACCATAAACAACAAACGGTGGAAGAAGCCATAATCACAATAATAGCAGTGTTTAGTTTTGATTTCTCATTGTATAGTAAGTCCTGGCATGTAAAATTAACTGGCCTTTGATTAAGTGAAGTTAGCGTCATGTTTGTCTGATGGCATTTGTACTCCGCAGGAAAATGGAGGCGCTGGTAAGTACAGAACAGTCCCATCATGACAACAAGGAAAACAAGCTGAATGCACATATGAGCGATGAATGTCCACACAAACGTTTTCAAATGTTTTCTTTCCCTTTGTTCGCCTCGCTCTCTGTGGATCCGTCGTAGAATCATAGCCCCCATAAGAATAAAAGACACCCAGACAATCCCCAGTCCACCATACGCGATACAAGCAAAGTCTAATGGTGTTAGATGGAGTGGGAGCAGGCTCATAGTAGAAGTATAATTGTCATAACAACGTTGTCTGGTGAAGTCGTCTGGCTTGGGGATACAGTTAAATGTCAGTCTGTCTTTGTGGTGGTAATCCTTCAGGAAACCAATAACAAATGGCCAACAGATTGCCAAGAACAGGAAATGAATGCCACCAAATATGGTCTGGGTCTTGAGGGCCAGTTGAAATAGATTATCCATGGTAATCAGTGCCGCTCAAGATCTGAAAGGGGAACACCAATTTAAGAAAAAGTAAGGCACAAAAACAAAGATATAATTGAAGCTCCAATGATGTTAATGTCATTGCATGTAAAAGTTCAAGAATACAGAATATACAGCAACAGGAGAGGAGGTACAAATTATTTATTATTACTATAATTTACCCTAGGTCATTAAAAAGATTGTTATATTTCACGTACCAATCTTTCAACAGCAAATTAGTAATCGTAACAGGATTGAGTGGAGTCCAATTCGGTCTGTAATCATACGAGAGGTTAAAAAAATCAGACGACCGCGTAGCGGGAGTCCGATTTGTTTAATCACGAGCCGTATGATTACAGACCTAATATCATAGGTGACGAATTACTCCTTAATTTTGGCGCGAAATTTCAGCGTTAATTTGTAATTTTCACATGTAAAATTACAAAATTGCCATGGCAACCTTCCGTACGTCTCAGTGTCAAGATGGCGACGAAGTTTTAAAATGCCGTGAATGAAGATATCAGGGCACAAACAGACGCTTTAGAAAACCTGAACACACAAGAGAACATCAAGAAGGACTCTAATAGGCATTTTGCCGTAAAAGTCTGAAAAATTCTGAACTTTATAAGCCAAATTTAAGGTCTAAACATTTGAGAGAGTGGAGTTCTCGATCGATACGATCCAGGATAAACATGTCAAAAATCCAAGATTGCTAACGTAATTCGTCACCCATGATATTAATAGGTAATCAAATGGTATACTCGTGAAATTAGGGAGTAATTTCACTTGCGTTTTGTGCAAATCCTTATAATTTCCCGAGCCTTTAGGCTCGAGAAATTATAAGGATTTGCACAAAACGCGCGTGAAATTATTCCCTAATTTCACTCGTCACCATTTGATTACACATACGAATTGGACGACATGAAGTTCTGTTACCAGTTAATCATAACTTTAACAAAATTTGTGATATATAAGGCTCTTTTTTAAAATCAAAACACCAGAAATCCCAAGACCTTTTTTTTTGCCAGTAGTGAAAAAAAGCCACTTAAGCGAGCGCGTGATGAAGCGTACTGTCCAATTACTTAAGCATGACGCGTACTTTCCTATTAAACTGTCCTATTACCGCTGAAATCAGGGCAGTTGATAGCCAATCAGATTTGAGAATTTTGTTATAGTTATGATTAACGAAATAATCATATGGCCACATATATATTATTATCCAAGTCGTATCCGTATATAACCACTGCTTCAGTGATATGTAAGGATCAATAACGAAACATGATAGTTCGGAATTTTTTTAATTTCATACTAGAAAGAAGCTAATTTCAACAAATTTAGTCTTCATGCTGATAAATTGTAAAGAAAGAGGATAGATTACTAATAGTTTAACGTCTGATGACGCTTAATTCTATAACTATAGGAGTTTCAATTTGAAAGTTGGACAGTTTGGTCATTTTCAGAATAATTTTAAAACATGAAGAAAATGAAAATAACGCCTGGGAATTAAGGTGGGTAAGCCTTAATGTTAAAGGGAAAATATGTTATTTCCGTGAGTTTGCGATGCATGAAAGGGAAAAGCCCTTCTGGTAAATTTCCAGCGTGCAAGCAGATTACGATTGCTGTATTTGCCTGTTGGAGTTCGTGAACGGTTACGTGATGAATTCAGTGGAAGACAAGTTATTTTTATGAGTTTTGCTACTCTAATATGTCAACAATTTTTGCCGATTTCCAATTGGAAATCATGTAGGTGCACTGGTTTTAGTGATTTGCCTCGCACCTTTCCTCTCTTTTCTCCCGAAAGCAAGAGCTAGAGCAAGCCTGAGAGTCAGCAGTTAATTCCAAATGGCAGAATTTTTGCCTGGCACATCAATTCTGCTGAATGCACAGAGAAAATACTTTCTCTCCTTCAAATACTTTCTCTATGAAGAAGGATTTGATCGATATCTTCGCACCTCCTGCATTTATTCGCGAATGGGCAAATAGAGCAGCCAAACCCATATAAAATAAAAAATCTCTCGTCTTCGGGGTCTTCCTCGAGATTCATCACTTTAACGCTATGGATCGAGACCTTGATGAATACTTTCACAAGCAAATAAAGACATCTAGGAATTACAAAAAGCCATTTCCAAACGTTCACCTGGTTTGTAATCTGCTTGGACTCGGGAAATTTACTCGAAATCTCTCGATCTCGTCCTAGAGCGTTTTACGTGATGCCATCACACAAAAGTGAATACCTCGGATAATAAGAAAACAAATTGACTGCTCATGTTTCTGATCTTACATCCGACAATTTTTGGCTTTCTCCCGCTATTGCAGAGAATAGTGTGCTGGCTCGCATAAGGCTAGCCAGCAATGAGCTCTACTCAATTCATCTGATTTCTGGTACACAACTGCATTCAAAAGCAGGTGTGAAATTATTTCAGGTATAATTTTAGACAAATCACATAAAGAGTTCGTATTAGAAAAAAGCAACTGCACACATACCAAAGATTCCCTCTAAGAATTGTTACTGTTTACAGAGTTAAAGGAAAACGATTTTAGGGTGGTTTTATGACTTGAGCTAAAGAGAAGTCAGTATTGGCATAGTTATAGGTTGTCACATGTGGCACAGAGATAGGATCACAATGTCCACGATGCTTTGCGGTGATGGCTTACTTAAAGTTGAACATGAAGAAGCTCATGGAGTAAATCAAACAGAAATATATATAATTTGAACTTTTATTGACATTCCCTAATTATAATTTTCCTCAGAGAGAGTAATAAAAGAAGGTGTATTTTACTTGCTGTTTTCGTTCTTCCCCATAACTCTTTACAATACCCGCAGTTAATATATTTTTTCCTGCTTCACCATCTTTAACATTGTTGTTTAGATTGTAAGGTAATTCGTTTAGATAAAGGTTTAAAAGTAGAAAGCGGGGAAAGAATACAGCCTTGTGGAACACCTTAATCATGATAAAAAAATTCTCATCTAGTATAATCGTCTTTCACACAACATTTTGAATGGGAATACATGTTGGAAATTATTCTGTAAAAGGCACCACCTTTCAACAATTTTAATAGTAAACCTTGATGCCAAACTTAGTCAGACGCCTTCTTAAAGTCAACAAAACAAGTAGAAAGTTTACCTCTGGAGGAATGAGTAACATGATGGTCTGGTCAGACGTACGATGTCCAGGCAAAACGTTAATTTAGGCCGATGCAGTATTTTATGATGAATTTGTTTACAAAGGGAATGGATGTTCTACACGACGACAGGCACATTAGAAAGCGACATATTGGTTTAGTTGCTACTAATCTGATAAACACGGTTCGTGGCAAGTCGAACATACCGCTAATCCTGAAAACGAATGGCAAACCGTTGACGCGAAAAAGAAAAAGAACAAAACACGGAGAAAGAAGATCAGTGAAGCACAGTCCAACGCCCATGATGACACGGAAAATTCCACGCCAGCAAACGAAAGTACTACCTTGTTGATTGGAGACTCTATGATAAAGAATATCCAAGGTACACGTTTAGGAAAAGCCGTTGGTCATCGGGTGGTGGTTAAATCGTTCTCTGGTGCCACCACCAAAGCTATGAAGGATTACCTTAAACCTAATTTGGAGCTTTCACCGGACCAAGTGATTCTGCATGTGGGCACTAATGATCTCAAAAGTAAAGAACCACAACAAGTTGCCGGCTCAGTGGTAGATCTCGCCAGACAAATTGAAAACTCATCCGATGCCACAGTAATTATATCTGAGCTCGTGCAAAGAAGAGACGGATTCAATGAAGCCGTGAAAACAGTTAATAAACAACTGAAGTTCTACTGCCGGCAAAATGGATAGAAATTTATCCAGCATCAAAACATCTCCGAAAAGGAACTTAACAAGGGCGGACTACATCTTAATTTTAAAGGTAATCAACAGTTTTTTAAGAACTTTCAGATGAGTTTAGGTTGAAATGATGCGCTATCCACCGATGCCGTGCCTATTCAATGTACAAAACGCAATACTGAGGAATCTCATGAGCCTACCTCAGTGTTGCCATCTCAGCGAGGTTTTAAATTAGCCTCTTTAAATATCAATTAATTTTATCACACACATTGATCAACTTAGAATTCTTCTAGCGCATAACGAAATAGATATTTTATCGATTAATGAAACTAAGCTCAATGAAACTATTAGCGACAATGAGGTCAACATCTCTGGCTATGATATAATTCGACGTGATAGAATTACAAACGGTGGAGGAGGAGTGTGTTTCTATGTGAAAAGTTCAATAAATTTTACCATACGAAATGATTTAAACATGGACACTCTTGAAAATCTATGTCTGGAAATTCAAAAACCTAGATCTAAACCGTTTGTTGTTGCCACGTGGTATAGACCACCTGATTCTCCTGTTGGTATTTTTTCACCTTTCGAAACTTTAATTGGGAAACTTGATTCCGAAAATATTGAATATTTTCTAATGGGAGACCTTAACTGCGACATGATTGCTACTCGATATGACAATAATACATGCAAATTAATGAGTATTACTGATATTTATGGTCTACAGCAACTTATCACTGAACCAACCAGAATAACTCCGACTTCTGCAACTTTGATTGATGTAATCTATACTAATTGTCCAGATAAAGTTGTGTGTTCGGGGGTTCGTCATATCAGTATTAGCGATCATAGCATAGTTTTTGCCTATCGAAAATTATCCGTGAATGGAATGTCTGGTGGGCACAATGCTATAACCTACAGAAACTTTCGAAAATTTAATCGAATAAATTTTTGGAATGATATTGCATCTCATTGTTGGGATCACATATACAATTCAACTGATCCCAATCAAATGTGGCTACAATGGAAATGCTCGTTTCTATCTATTGTTAACAAGCATGCTCCCTTGAGGACAATGCGTGTTCGCACGCGTAGTTCCCCATGGATTACATCTGAGCTTAAGAAACGAATGCATGATCGGGATATTCTAAAGATTAAAGCAAGTAAATCGAATGATTCAAATGACTGGTCACTTTTTAAAAAACAAC